CCCTGCTAGGAGACTTATCTGTAATGATTGCTACAGCAGAGTTTAATTTCAATAATAGTCGTGCACCCACCTTATTTTCTGTATGTTCATCACTGTGCAGCTACATAGGCTCAACAAGATGTGGAGACTGATGAATGATGTCCAAGCACAATGTTCACATGCAATGCATATGACTGAAGCAGTAAGGGGACCCCATTTTGCACAGGTGAAGTGCAGTGAAGGCAATCGCTGTGTGGTGCATGCACTACACTGCAAAGTATTGGGCTCCACTCTTTTGGACATCGTGACAGCTTCTGGGGTTTCTTTGACTCTCCAACTCAAAACCAGCACTTGTAAAGTTCACATGGAAAAAAAACCCCACATGTAAAACTAACTTACGTGGCCACTGCTCAACAATTAGTCTGCCCAATTCCAATCTAGAAGGCCCTCCTAAATTCTTGTCACTCATAACACCAGAGTTGCTTAAGCTAAGAATGCATTTAGTTAATGGTGTGCAAGATGGTTGTGTGAGCTGTGTCACTGTCTATGGCTTTCCTACACTGAGGATCAAATAGCAACTCAGCCTGGTCAGCTTAGGATGTCCAAAACATGGAATGAACTTTCTTTGGTTGTAAAGCTTAATTCCTTATTTGCTCCACTGCTCTGCCTTCAGCTCACCCATATAGATTGACATGTCTTTTTCTAACACAGCAGAATAAAGGGGCAAACACCTCCCATTGGGAATTAAACAAGTCTGCAGCATCATGGTAGGCACAGTAATATTTTGGCTATTCATCCAAGCAGCAACAAAGGCACACTCTTGCAGCACAGTATAACATATATGTAGGTGTATATATTGATGGTGCTTCACTCACCTCTGTTGGGCTGGAGCACTCATGGAGAATTTCCTAAAAAACAAGGAGTCGTCATTTTAGTATTTTACGAGTTGACCTATTCCCCACTCCCTACAAAAAGGGTATGTAATCATACTGCATTTGACAGGCTAAGACGCATGGAAGCATCATGCAACACTGTATACACATATTCTGTACCCCCCACACCACTACTACTCTTTTTGAAGGAACTCCCTAACTTAAAGTCACCAAGCCCCTCTATCCAACCTGTAGTTTTAGTTTCTGTTCTTCATTAGGGACCTCCAGGAGATCTTCAAGATCAATTTGTGGTTCAGGAGCTGCTGCCTCTGTTTCCTCTCTTAGCTAAAAAGAAAAAAAAAATATTAAAAATACACAGTTAATAAACCTTCAGACTTTTAAGAACTCTAGAGGCCATCTTTAAAGAACTGAGCAGCTGAGAAGGAACTATTAACAATAAAACTACACTGCAAATTTGGGGTCAAGATATAAATTGTACCAAAATAAGGAGGTTCTTAAAAAGAGAGCACGGATTCCAGCCCCTCTGCGGTGTCTGCTACAGCCATACATCCTCGTGTACACATTCTTCAACTTTTCCCACCTCAACACTGGATACCACTGCTCAGGGATCGTCATCCATCACGGGAAGACCCTTTCAAGAATATCCAACAGCAACTGCCAACTGCAATGCAACGTAAGCCAGCCTGGGACAACCCTCATCTATGAAGAGCGTGCACAAGCATTCACCAAACAGAAATCCAGCAGGCTTAACCTTAGAGAGGCACAACTCATACAAGGGGCTTTTAGGCTAAATACACTCACACAGTTGGTATTCAAACTAAGGCTTTTTGCAGTAACGGAGAGAAAAACAATTACGCTTTTGAAAGGCCTAACACTGTTTTGCCAGCTTTCTCTAACAGACATGCGAAGGATATAATAGTCTCCTTTAATGTAAGAGACCCCATGTTTTGGTGGTTGGAGTTAATAATCTTGTCATGCATGCGGGTGTTAGTTGGAAACATTTGTGAACTTGATCACTGGCACATTTTAGCTCCACATCTCTCTACATGACTGTAACAAAGCAGGCTGTGGTTTCCAATGTATTTGCAAAATGAATCTTTGACAACACAACACTAGTGATATTTTAACATAGTAATTGGCAGAATAAGGATACTGAGTAAACAGCACCGTACCTGATTGCCGGGCAGCATTTATGGATGTGTATGTAAAACATTAAACAATAAAGGCAATATGGGAAAAAAATAAACTTGTTCTGAGCAGTCTCTGATACCAAGCCAGAGAAGAAGTAGAAAACCTTTGTTCAGCTTTGTTATGCAGCTGACTTGACAGCAAGTAATAAAAGAGAGTTAAATATATTGTACTGTGACCCACCCAGCATTTCTTCTGAAAAGTAATAGTTTTCATGTGACTGTGTAGGCAACAGGTGTTGATCCAGCCTGACATTGTCTCTGGCTAAGAAGCTAAACAGGCCAGGAGGATGAGACAGGGCAGGAACTCCCTATGGCTTTCTGGTCCTAGTGGATGGTGTTCTGGCCTCCATGTGCAGGGAATCATCTTGAAAAACATCAAAATTGTCTCCCAAGTCTTAGTTCTGTCGCAGAAATGACTCATGACAGTAAATAGCATAGCATTTAAATTAGTTGTATCAGAAGGCGATATTTGAACTAACCTTGCTGGCATTTGGGTCTGGAATGCCATTTATTCTGACTCCGTCACATGGATTTATGGAAGACACTGAGGAACACTGCACTGACAAAGGCAGGTGGAGCAAAGGAAGAAGCCGATGAAGAGACAATGTAATGCAAGTCGATGGATCTAAGGAAGCCCACATTAGCAGGGCTAACTAAATAGTCTTGCCACAACGCACAGAGAGCGGGAGGACCTGCTGGACACCTAGGTGACTACAAGTAGTTTACTGTGGCACATGTATTTGTTTGAAAAGATCCTATGTAACCCTCTGTTGTACCCTATTAACAGCCTCAGACCTGGCACAGCATCATGATATGTAGTTCCTGGTAGCAAATCTCCCAGGTTGCCTCAAATACACCAGGAAGTTGGGAAACCTGTTGTGCTGGAGAGGTGCTAGCAAAGGCGACCCATCTGCAATCTGTTCCTGTAAGGACATGACTGGAATTCTCACTTAGTGCCTGCTACGATTTTGTAATAGGAGGAAAAAAAAAAAAATCCCGTTTGGGGGATGACAGTAAATAGCTCCCCATTTTCAGAAAACCAGAAGTGATAACGTAACCTGTTTTTCTCACACCTTTACAAGTAGGTAGTCTGTAGACTTGGGCAAGTAAGAGTAGCACACAGGGAGCCTCATGTTGGGTCATGTTAGTGGTGGTACCAAGCGCTTCTTGTCTATCTCAAAAAAAACCCCAAATCAAATCCAAACCCCTAAACCTTCTCTTCAAAACTGGAATAACTCCCCAAAGGGCAAGACCATGGAATCATTAAGGTTGGAAAAGACCTTTAAAAGAATCAAATCCAACCATTTAACTAACCCTCCCATCTCACCACTAAACCATGTCCCTAAGCACCTCTTCTGCCCATCTTTTAAATACCTCCAGGGATGGGGACTCAACCACTCCCCTGAGCAGCCCGTTCCAATGCTTGACAAACCCTTTCAGGGAAGAAATTTTTTCCTGATGTCCAATCTAAACCTGCCCTGGCACAACTTGAGGCCATTTCCCCTCATCCTAGATGTTCTGTTACTCAAAGCAGCAGCCATTCTCCTTGCTTATCTCTGGCAAATCTCAACAGCAGGGGCTGAGCTACCAACCCCAGGCAGCGCAGGCACGGTTGGCAAGCGACGCTGTCACTGCCACTGTTCTGTTCAACAGCCTCCACTCACCAGAACCACCACTCTCGCACTTCACAGACACCCTGAATTTTGCCTGCCTGCCTAGATCTAGCAATAGCATCTGCTCCTATGTGAACTACGTAATGTTTCATAATGCATTATCAAGAGGCCTAAGATACAGCTGAGGATTTATAACTATAATTTTATAAACTACAGAAAACAACTGGAAACTCTCAATTAAGTCTTGAAGAGATTATGAGCGTTTATCCTTTGTCATTTTTCTAAAGAAGCTATAAAACTGTTTGGGAAGTCTAAGAATGTTAATTAACAAGAGCAGTAATATACTGATTTTCAGAGGAGCCATGGGTTTGCAAACAAAGGAAGGGCCTTTTTCTCTGTATTTGTTTTCTGCTGCATGTTCTTTGCATATGGCATAAATTAAAACAGAAATTAACTGTTTTTCTCTCCTGTCATGGCATGAGAACCTGGTACGTTCCCACAAATACCAAATAGGAAACAGTCACACAGAAAATGATAATAATAATGATGATAATAATAATAAACAACAACAGGAACAACAATAATAAAGACAGCCTCAGAGGCAGTTCCTGAGGTTTGGCTCTTTAGCTGTGGAGGGGACATCGTTCTACAGCTCTCAGGCCCAGAAAATCAGCCTGGGACGAGCAAAAGCTTCTCTGTACCATCATGGCAGATAGCATAAAAATCGCCTTTCCTGGGCTGTTCTGACATGCCCACTTCCACTGCTGACTGCAATTTGGGACTGCTGATGCTCAGCATGGAGGACTCTTAAGCAACCATCAGCTCTTTTTAGCTTTTATCTCAAAAATGTGCTTAACGCTGTGCTGAGGTGCAAATACAGAAAACAGGGCAGAAGGGGCATGACAGTTCATTTAGTCAGTCCCCATCCAAGACAGGAATAAGCTGTTTTACGCAATTTTTTAAACCCATCTGTGTCTTCTGTTGAAGAAGTACTGGGTTGTGCGTCAAGAAAGGTACGTTCTCTTACTGCGTCAGCCATTGCCCTACAGAGAAAAGCTATTTAAATGGGTTTAAGACCATGATGTATGATGTGGGAAATCCTTTCACCTTTTCCTGTACCACACTCCAAAGGAATTATCTCAAACATGGAAAAGCACTATCCCTTCCGAAAGCTCTCAGTGTAAGTGCCGTCTATCTAAGCACAAAATATGAATAGAAGCGATAGTACCAGGTTAAAATTTCAGTGTGCCCAGCCAGTGCTGGAAATTGGCTTAATCATCACACCACCCTGAAGAAAAAATGCCATGTACCCTGCAAGAGCTCCAGGAAAGACTGGTACCATTTGGGTCCTGGACCTAGGCACTCCTGGGTCTTTCTTACTGGGACAGCTTTCCGACAGGGAGGAAGAATTTAGGAGGGACTGTTCCTGGTGCAAAGGGAATCTTGGGCAAGGAAGACAGCTCTGGGGATTTGTGAAGATGAAGGCATACGATCTCTACATTTGAGCATTATTTTTTTTTCTTTCTTCCTCTGCTGCCAGTAGTGTGCCCGGGCCCTGCAGCTACATGTACAGCATTATCCGGAGCATCTCATTTGAACAGCAGCCCTAGCTACACTGTTTGTGACCAAAAGGAACAAGGCTACACCGGTAACTCCAACCCAGCTAAGCTTAGATACTGCTTGCAGCAAAGCCACCCACCACATGGAGCCTCCTGGGTTTGTACATCTCTGGGTTCTGCTGCTTGGGCTGAGCAATAGCTACACCCCCCAGCAGCTGCAAGACCAGGCACTTTAAAGCTACCTGGATTATTTGGGTGCAAGATGGAGACAAGCCAGTCAGAGAGAGTGCTGTAGCAGGTGGCAATGAGGTACCTAATGAAGACTAAAGATGAGAAGCTATTTCCAGTAAGGCAGAGCAAGCAAATTTCTTTGTGTCCCAGCACACAGGGCCTGGAAGTCCCATTCACCTGAGGAGCGAGGGGCTAATCATAGAATCATTTAGGTTGGAAAAGACCTTTAAGATCATCAAGTCCAACCGTGATGTTGCTACTCACCCGGCATTGGTACAGCTCCTGCAGCTGGGCATTGATCCACTCCTCCAGGTCCAGCCAGCGCTGTAGGTCTTTGCGGTTGTACTTTATGGTTAACTTCCCCAGTTTCCTGTGTGATGATTCCTCCCCAGGTTTCTCTGGAGTCTGAAAAGTCACCCGGGTCAGTGCACTGGAGTTGCTGGCCATGCTCGCCGCTTCCTCCTCTTCCTCCCCTGACAGCAGAAACTCGCAGGCTCCCTCCCTCACTCCTGTTCTCCGTCTCCTTTAAAGCAAAGCCTCTCTGCAACTCGGGGCTCACAGCACAAGCTGCTCAGGGGCACCAGGCAGCATTGGTGATCCCAAAGGGAGAGGTGGGGGGGACCACAGGGCCGGGGCAGCAGCCAGGCTCTGCAGGCAGAGTTACAGCCGCAGATTCTTGGGTTTCACCATCGGCTGTTCTGACAGGAGCAGGGAGGCAGGCAGAGGAGTTATTGTAACAACATCTGTTGTTAAAGGAAGCCAAGCGAACCAGGGAATCGATGAACCAAGTTTGTTAATATTTAACGCAAGTCAGCTCCAAGAGGTGGGGAAGAAGGAGGTTTTAGATGACTGTTTTCCTACAGGCATAGCTTACGTGCATGTGCAATTCCAGAGGGCTGATCCATACATAATGCATTGAGTCCTGCTGGGTTCAAGCTCCACAAGCCTCTGTAAATTACTTTGCCTCCAGCTACAGGGTTTAGTTCCCATTGAAATGGTGCATTTGGCATTTTCTGGCTAAAGCACCGGACCCAGCACAGATAAGGAGAAGTGGTCTGGAGTCAGGTGGCTACATCCACTGTTTTACAAGAGTGGGAATACTTAGGTCAGTGACACTGCAAGCCAACCAGGACTCAGCAGTCCCATTTTACATTGTTCTATGACCTGTAAATTTATTCCACCTTTCTCAAAAACTTTTGCAGAAATCCTGATGGCCTGAATTTGAGATCATTTGAGCAAGGCGCTTCTGATATAAAACAAATTATCCATACTCTTATTTTAAAAAAAAATATAGTATTTGACATGATGGCACTGCAGGGGAAGGGCTGTCTAGGGATATAGCACTATCTCCTTCCCACAGAAAAGTATTTGTGGTAAACAGGTTCACCTGCTATCATACTATATATTACCATTGCTTGGTTTACAATCTCTTTCTTACTGGAAGACAGGTTAAAGGTCCATAGCTTTATCGCCCTGTGCATTTTAGAAGGGTACGCATGGGCAGTGCTGTTCAGAGGAACAGAAATCAGTGGCGTTTATGGGGTGCCAGGGCACCGGGACACCCGTGTTCCGCTGGATGCTGTTTCACACCTCTTTATTCATCTCTTCCCAGAGCCCTCCAGCCCGGGGAGCTGCCCTATCAAACGGACAAACCCGCTGAGAGCCTCCATCAGGAAGCAGGTCCAAATCTCATGAATTATGCGGAAAAAAGCAAGTAAGTCTCTGCTGCTCCTGGCAGCCGAGGTATTTCCAGTTTGGAGACCAAGAGCTAGATAAGCCAAAGGAAAAGCAACCAAGCCTTCTCCCGCTGCTAGCTGCTGCCGGGCAGCATGGAGCAGTCTGCAGGGGGGCTGGTCTCCTCTGTCTCCTCTGGAAGTCATACCCAGCCCCCCTGCCAAAGCCACATTCCTGTGCCCAGAGGGATGGTGGTACAGCCAGCCAGCAGCATCTTGTACACAGGGTGATAGAAAAATGGACAGGGCCATTCCAGCCCTTCTTTTCATCCTGAATTTGAGAAAAAAAAATAAAAGCCATTTCTGATGGAAAATTCAAAAAAATGTTGATCCTGAAACTCAGTTCCACATCAGTGAGGGATAAAGTATTAAAGCATACCTGAAACTGGTATCATCTCCTCCGCTTTTCAGACAGCCTGAAATTTCTGTTTAGAAGACAGCTGACAGCTGTTTAATTTCAGCAGCTTTACCCATTTTTCCTCACTGCTTGGCTGTATCCTCCATCTATCTGGTTTTATTTAGACCAAAATTTCCCAGAAGAATCCATGTTGTGAGAGACTCAGAGCATACTTGGTGCGTGCAGATTCTTCAGAGATTCTTAACTGTTAGAAACCTTGCAAAACCCCTTGGACATCCTATAATGTGTTTACAACTATTGACTTTTCAAAGCTTAATTTGTTGGCCCAACATGGGCAGATTTTCGCAAGGTAACTCTGGGCCAAAGGACACACACTGCCAGGTGTCACGTTCCCATCGCCAAATAGAAGTGCTCTAATTTTGGTGTTTGAGGACTGACTTTTTTTTTTTTTTAACAGGTGAAAACAACCTATATTGTCTTTGGTGCCAAGGACCTTCCAGACAGGCTGGCATTAAGACCAGACTTACAAGAGAAGTTGCCAAAAATCAAAAAATCTGCAGCGGCTGAAGGGCTGGCAGGGAAGTTGCCCCCTTCCTCCACCCCCTGTGCTGACTCCAGTGCTCTGCGCTGAGCAGTTCAATTCAACTCTACATGAAAGATGGGTTTTGCCCTGTTAACCTTCTGCCAGCATAGCTGGATTTATGAAGCACAGGGTCCAGAGGTCACAGGATAGGTGTGCGGAAGAGGGAAAGGGGAATATAACCTGCTCTAATGGCTCTTCAAACAGCTTGAGCTGCTGTTGACTTGTAACCTCGCTTGAGCATGAGCAACGCACCAAGATACCACATCTGAAAAGGCAGACTCACCCCGCCGTCCGTACTCTATCAACAAAGTAATAAGCAGACCCTGGTGCCCTCATGCTGCTCTACCAGTGTCTCCCTACAAGGGAATAAGACATTCAGAGGGGGATGGCAGAGGCCCTCTCAGGGGAGCCGGGGGCCAAAATGAGCCAGGTTACAGGATGTTCGTCATACTGCTTTGGCTTATCATCTGAGTTTAGTTATGAATTCTTCGTAATGAGAAGGTGGCAATATAGGAATAAACATTTACAGATAAAGTAGGCCTCCTGCAGTAATAAACTATTTCAATCTATCATTAAAGCAGGAGGAAGAAGCAAAAAGACTGTGTGCAGGATCTCTCCATGAGGGCGTGGTAGAAGTTCCTGCAGGCACAGAATTGGGTGCCTCACACAGGGTCAGTGATATTGTCCCCTCTGAGCCAGGCAGCATCTCCTGCAGGTGCCCCAGCCACTTGCCCGTGCTGGTAAGTGCCAGCTGCCACCAAAGAAGCTGCAGCTTCCACAGTGCTGCACACCATCCTGTCCTTCCCTCGCGTCACAGCAGATTCAGGTGGCCAAAGGGACAGAAGGACGTTCACTGTTTTGCTTGGGCATGCACAGCTGGGGGTCTCAGTGATCACTGGCATGGCCGGGAGATGAGATCTTATTTTTAACCTCCTTTATAGCCTTGAACATACAACCGGGACCAGAATTTCAGGAGTGAACACACATACTTGGGCAACTAAGTCATCTAGTCAACAACCTGTTTTTTCACAAGAGCCATACACATGTAAGCTCCAGTGGGCCTCCTGCTGCAGCCGCTGGTGATCATGTCCTCTGCAAATCTGCTTGTCATTTACATAGGTGAATAAAGGGGGTTTAAACATGGCCAACACATTTGAGTGTTAGACTGAAACATGCCTCCATTTCAACATGGGTGACTTGGGGTTGCTGCTCCTCCAGGCTGGCCCTAGGAGTTAGGTTTTGCCTCTGGGAGGAGGGGAGGATTTGATACTGTGGAGTTGGGCTTTTGTGACCGCCTGTGGCACCAGAGAGGGCCACCAAACCCAGCTGAGCACCTGCGTTGTAGTGCCAAGCAGCCATGACACTGATCCAGGCAGCAGAGCAACCAAGTGCACGAGGCAGATCTGGTTACACTCCTCTGTTCTTGAAGCAAATAAGCTCCATCCCCTACCTGTGCCCTAAGCTGGTGCTTCTCTTTCTCTCCAAGCCGACAACTGTGGTGCATGCTCAATAATTCAGCAGGGGCCCAGCTCATCTTTCCAGAGAACCAGGTCAGCCCCTTTCCCTTGAGTCCCAGCCTAGAGAGGGATGTTTACCTTCAAGACAGCCAGAAGCCACGCTCCGCCTGTTTCAGAGAATAATCACTTTCCCTGTGGTTGCAAACATGATAGTTAACACCAAATTAAATCAGAGAAGACAGCAGAGGTGACTGTATCGATACTACATTGACACCACAAGGTAAAGAGGTTCTGCACCTCCCTGTGAGCCCGAACAGACAGAGAAACAAGTCATGCAGATCAGAAAATGCAGCCAGGGCTGGAGATTTAAAAAAATCCAGAACCCTGAATGAGCAACCCCAGTACACCCAGCATCCTGGCATCCAGCATCCGCTTCCCTCATCTTCCAGTGTCTCCACAGAAGCATGGAAACCAAAAAGGCTGAGCTGGTGCCCCAGAGCTCTAGCAAGAAGAGGGAGAACACATCATCTCTTGCCTTCATCTCCTGGAGACTTAAGGAGGCAGCCAGGGGTTTCCAGCTCATAGTCCCCACCTCTCACCTGAGCAGTACTGCTACCGTCCCACCAGCGCACGGAGGGGAGCCCGTATATTCTTCAGCCAGACGATTGGTAATCAGTCTTACTCTCAGCACACTGCTGACCCATATTCAGTCTGCTGTTGACCAGTACCCTCAGATGCCTCTCTGCCAAGCAGCTTTCCAGCCACTCATCCCCATGGGCCACAGCTCGTGGACCCAGCCTGTCCAGATCCCTCTGTACAGCCTTCCTGCCCTCAAGCAGATCAATGCTTCCACCCCACTTAGTGTCATCTGCAAACTTGCTGAGGGTGCACTCAATCCCCTCATCTAGGTCATTGATAAAGATATTAAACAGAACTGGCCCCAACACTGAGCTCTGGGGAACACCACTTCTGGCTGGCCTCCAACTGGATGTAACTCCATTCACCACCACCCTTTGGGCCCAGCCATCCAGCCAGTTTTTTACTGAGTAAGAAGAGTATGCCTGTCCAGGCCACAGGAAGCCAGCTTCTCAAGCAGAATGCTGTGGGAAATGGTGTCAAAGGCTTTACTTAAGTACAGGTATGCTACATAGCCTTTCCCTTGTCCACTAAGCATAGAAGGAGATCAGGTTGGTCAAGCAGGACCTGCCTGTCATAAACCCATGTTGACTGGGCCTGATCTTCTGGTTGTCCTGGACATGCTGTGTGATGGCACTCAAGATGATCTGCTCCATGACCTTCCCCGGCACAGAGGTCAGACTGACAGGCCTATGGTT